ACGTTAGTTTTTAGTTTGATTTAGACTTTTAGTGCATTTCGATGATCGATCAACCTAGTTCAAATCACTCAAGTGAGCTGGTTCATTTAGTTCATTCTCGTGCAGGTTTGTTCACAATTTAAAATAGTGAATCCGAGAAATAAAACAACAAATTTTTATAACAAAAAAAAGTAATATTTTGCTCAGAATAACATTCAAAGATAACATAAATATTAGCTTTCTTATACGTTTTCGAGATTAAACTCCTCCAAATTTTGTTGATATCATATTTTTGTCGATTTACACAAGAAACATGAGCATATTTTCATTAAATTTTGAATAACTGCTAGGGTGTTCGCTTATTTGACTTTTGTCGAAAACCGGTTTTCGAGTTATTCGAAAAATGGAAATTAAAAAAAAAAAAATTAGGAAAAAAAAAAAAATTAGTTTCCTGCAGTGGAAAATTTTTCAGTTAAAAATATTCTATGTTGTTCCATTTTCAATAAAATAAGTATTTAGAATTTTTAAATTATGGTATATAAATAAACTAGGTGAAAACCCGGTTTATTCGACTGTAAAAATCCGGTTTACTCAGTATTCGAAAAATACAATTTCACAAAAACCGCCTAAAGGTTTTCAAAAAACCAAAAAAGAGTCAAACATCCTAATAACTACTGCCACGTTGGCAGGGCTGGTATGAGTATGTTTGTTGCTCTTTCACGCCAAAACGGCTGGACATACTTCAATGAAATTTAGCACACTAGGATATACCTTGGATTAGCATATAGCAGCGGTGGGCACGGCCGAGGCCGAAAAGAACCACATGTAAGTTCTAAATATTACAAAGAGCCAAAAAAAAAACAACAAAAGCAAAAATTTTATTTTTAAGCAAAATTATTATTAGAAATGAAAAACATAAATTTTATTATTATTCTAATGTACGTAAGATAGATATTAAATAAAATTAAAAAGATCCCTTTGAGCAAATTTTCAAAATCTGGTTTTACGTCAGTTACAGCCGTTCGTAACAGTTCTGTTACATGTTGGTTAGCCAATTGGTACGTTCGTTTAAAATCTCCAGTAAAAGTTGTCCAACAGCAAAATTCCGGTGAAATGCCATCTGCTCTTTCACAAGAAAAAAATATCGAAAATAGTGCGCGAATAGAAAATTGCAGAAACTTGCAAGTTAGACGAACAGCTGATAGAGATTTTGTTTACATTCAAAAGTATAAAATTGAAAACGTAAGAAAACAAGTCCTGACACAGTTCACCGACTAAACGAATAATTACTTACTTCTTACAAATTTAATTAGTCGCATTTTACTATTAAGTTCCAAGACATCAAATTAAATTTAGGGATTTGCGTAAATTCCAACCAGCGATTTTCGATCAGCTGTTTTTGATCAGCTGTTTTTGATCACCTGTTTTCTTGTTGGCAAATTGCTGTTGGCTAAAATTTTCCAGCAGAAACTAGCAGCTTTCCCTCAAAATGAAATGTTATTTTGCTCTCTCAATTTCCCCTACTAAAGACTCACAATTATCGGCCGAATTGTGCTCCAATAAACACTTGTGATTATATGAGCGCTCTCGGACATAAACCGATAACCGAACCGATATCGGCCGTTGACGTCCGTCAGTGACGATAAATTCAAACATGTTTGTTTTTCTCATCCGATGTCAGGTGAAAAGTACCAAAATGGACTGCGAAAAATTAACTGATTGGGTGCAAAACAAAAAAATTATCTATAAATACGGTCGGCAAATAATCTGGTTAAGTATGCGCATCAGTTCGGGCGGTCAAATTGTTCGGCCGAAATCGGTCGGCCTATCGGATGCAATGTGCGCCTAGCATAATACGTTCTACCATAATTTGAAAATATACTGCAGGCAGCTGTTTTCAACAGCAGGTATTTTAAATCTGATACTTGTTGCCAGAATTCAAGCAACGGCAAAGCTTTATGTTGCATTTCCAGTGTCTTATCTTCTTTTAATTCCAGAATTCCAGCTCTTTTTCGCTTTTCTTAAAAAAAGAGTATTTCGGATATTGTAAATTCATCTTCAACACGATCCAGAAAATAAAGGTCGCGCCATTCGCAGACTGCTAACCCTCTCTTTGTCGATTTGACAGCATCCACCCAATCGCTGACGTCATACAATACTTTTGTTTATATCCACTGCTGCCAACTCCATGCTTTTCGCACCAAATTTAGTGGGTATTCAAAACGCGAAAATTGTTGGCTTCGATCCTTGGAGCATTTTTGGTGCTTTTGTTTTTAGTTGAACACACCAAATTTGAAAATCTTAAAAAATTTAAGCAAAATTCATAGCAATCGTAAGTGTGGTAAGCAGCTTTACAAAAATTTAAACACAATCGTGGCACAGTGACAGTCATAAGCGACAACAAAATATGTGGCAGCACCTTCAATAATGCCAGAAGAAATCAACCGTCGTGCAAAAAACATTGATTTTTATTAATTTGAATCTGCATCGGTACAATAAAATTATGTATGCATATAAAGTCCATAAAATACACCAATAAAAATTTGGTGCTTTTTCAAATTCAAAACTTGGCAATACTGCCTTTTAGATGCTTCCTCTTTTTCTTGTCGAGTGCGTCTTGCTCTCTCAGACGTCACGGCCAGTTGCTCTCAGCTCGATTGGCGCAATCTTGTATTCTATCATTCTTGCATCCTTAATCAGGGATGCCGTTTGGATCTAAATAGATCCAATTGGATACATTTTTATACGAATTTTCGCGAGATACTTATTTTTACCGATCAGTATAAATGTGCATACTTTTTTAAATAGGCCAAAATTTTATATTTTCTATAAAGTTTCTTTCATTCAAAACTCGATTTTCATTAAAGATGGTAGAAAGCATTACGTTTTCTAAATGTATTAAAATTCGCTACTTTAGCGTGAAATCAAAGCATTTTATTTTTTTTTTTTGAACGAAGCAATGAACATATGAAGAGATCTCACCAAAATAGGTATAAGCACAATTGTTTTAGTTAGCTAAAAAGGATGCTTTAAGCAAGATCTTATATACATATATATAAAGTAAATATATACTCTTTCTGTACTAATCTCTTTCATATCACATATTTTCATTTGTTAATTTAAAAAGAAAGCAGATCTTAATGTAGATTAAAATACTCTGTTAAAAAAACTAAATTTAATTTATTTAAGGACATTTGAATGAATTTTACTAAGACTTAAAATGCACTCTAAAAAAAATTTGTTTATTGGCGCATATTAAGAGAGGTAACCAGTTTCCTTTTATAATGTGTGCAAATTTGCACACCGTGTAATAAAATTAAACATTGCCTGTATACTTTTACATACCACATTAGCTTGGTCAGTGATACATTTTCTTGAGACGGCGCGGCAACACTATTTTCAATTATATTACAAAAAATAAAATTATAGTTTAAAAAACTAAAACCTCCCTATTATAATTGCCATTCGTACTGTCATCAGGTATGTAACTTGAGAATAGAAATCGCTGCAACTTTTAGGCGCCCCAATATTACATAGTTACATCGCGAGCTAATAAAGGGAAGGTAAAAAAGGGTTTATGAAGTATGCAAACGAACATTTAAATAATTTCAAATCGGCAACACATTTTTCAAAATCGGCTTTTAAATCATTTGCAATATTTTTTGCTAGCCATGGAAAATGATGAAATACAAATTCAAGTTTCGCAAATGCTCCTTCATATCGGTAAAGAACATTAAGTCAGAAAGCCAATTTTCATTCTCCAATAGTGGGTAATGTTCCGATCTCAATTTGCATATGTGTATATAAAAAGAATAAAATAAAAAAACAACACAATGGAAAAGTAACAAGTAATTTTAAGCAAAAAAAACCGACTTCAATTCTCATATAAAAATTTAGGAGTACTGTTAATTTTTTCATGATCCACTGATCGGATCTAAACCAGATTAGTATGGGACCACCTGTGAGACACTACCTTTCCGATGCAAGCAGATTTTTCAAAATCGGTTGACGTGGTCAAAAGTTATGCGGTAACATACATAAAAAAAATATTCCGACGGTTTGGTAACCTCCTCCTTTTTTGAAGTCGGTTAAAAAGAGCCAAAATGTTCTAAGCAAAGAGAAAGTAAAAAGAGTCGCTCTTTGCTAAGCAAAGAGCCGCATTTGGCTCAAAGAGTCGCGTTTGCCCACCGTTGGCATATAGGATATTGAAGGAGAATCAATGAATTAATAATTTAAATAAAATATTACAACAACATGGAGGTCAAACGAAATTACTACCTGTTAAAAAGTTACACTCAAACTATTTCGAAAATATTCTTTAAGGTGGAAGCCACCTGTTCAAAAAGTTAAAATAAATTTAAATAACAAGTTAAATGGAAATTTTGGTATGGGTTTTGAACGAGTGATGTTTAAAAGAATTTGAAGTAGCGAACATTTAATGCAGTTTACTTCTATTTGACGCAGTTTTCTTCTCTTTGTATTTCATGGATCCACAGTATTTACCCTAAAATTCCATATGGAAACATTCTGCCATCTTGGATTTAATGTTTTTTTTTTTTTTTTTTGTGATTTGCAATCTTATTATAAATTTTTCGTAAAAAAAGATTGAATAATCTAAAGAATGTTTGTTTAAATTTACGCATATTAAGAGCCTTTTGAAAAATTCACCATGCCGTCTAAGGTAACCATGAATTGCATTTTGCTTTACAACTTTTTTGCCACAGAGAACCCAACTTTAAAAAAGAAAAAGTAACAGCAGGTATTTATATTTTTGAGATTGCTGATTACGAACCTATAGCACGATTTTAAAAATTCATAATGGCGAATCCAATATGGCGGCCAAAAAATTAAAACCGATTCGGTCCGCTTGAAACGTTTTCTTCTAGGGATCTCTCTGGGCCGAATATTGAATAAAAATATTGAAATAGAATTCTATTGATTTAGCATATGTGTTTAGGAGCATATTTGTTTTATTTATATTTTTTAAGCCCTGCTAATGACTATCTATTTTATTTTTACAGCAAATAGTGATGGCAAAAAGGGACTCACCGTCACCGAAACAAAGTCTACGAAACAGAATAACGTAATGCCTGAAGGAGACTTCACTGCCCCCATACACTATGATGCTAATGATAACGATGACACTGACGACCCGTCGCTCGCTGAGATGCTAGACCCCGAGCTACAACCTGAACAACCAATACCCGACAACGAAGAGTCACAATCAATTTACAGAGAACACCGCCGTTTGGCCAAAGAATACTTGCGGGTAGATACAAGACTCTACTACGCACAGGACATCAAGGAGAAAATCCTTATAGGTTTGGATCCAGAAGAACGCCAAAAGAAACAAGATATGCTGAAGAAAATTCAAGAGAAGGTAAGTTTACATTTATAGAAAATTATTATGGGTGAGCAAATAAAAAAAAAAACATGTCTACTTTATTGCTTTTGCAGCAAGAACTTCTGGAACTTCTGAACAACTTAAAACAACAACGCGAAAATTTACTCGCCGAGCAGGCACGAACTGTGGGGCCGAATGGCGCTGGCGGTGTACAACAACAGATGGATTTACTTGCCGCCAATGCGAGAGCGGCCCAGTCCAGTAGTGGCGGCAGTGCGCTACAGCAGCAAGAATTGCTGGCCGATGACGGCTGGGTGGTCATACAACCTAATCAGAATACGTAGTCGGGAGCAATATCACGTCATATTTATTTATATTTTAAACTTCTATTTTAAGCGACAGATCCTTTCTGCTAAAATATTTCTTTTAACTGGAGATCGAATTTGTTTTGGAAATTCTTCTTTTTAAAATATCTGTGCTGAGGAACCAGAAATGGTCGGTTACATTCATTTGTAATTCGAATATGTTTGTGGAACGTTTTATTAATGTATTTGCTTTTAAATCAGATCACTTTGTAATTGTATGAATGAGTGTCTATATGTCTATATCCATTTGTGGACGTGTTTGGACAGTTGCCTTACATTTGCAGGAGGCATGCCGTAAACTTGTGTTTGTATGTAAGTGTGTATGTCTGAAGGCATAATTATGTGTTATTTGTTATTCAAATATAAAACAATGTCGCTAAAGGCAACATGTAAACAAATTATAATGTATCTTTAAAAAATTTCAATAAAGCAAATCGATTTATATATGTATGTACATCGATCGATGTATTGTATCATGAAACAAAAAATAAATATAATATTATTTTCAGAATACTCCTACATATACGGCTGAGTGGGGAGCTAAGTCAATGGGGCTCTTTGGTTGCTCTTTGGTTTGGTTTGGTCGCGGGTTGTGCGAGTTGGAGGCCGTGCAGGCAGGTGGTGCCGTATGACTTGAGCAACATTGGGCCTGTTACAAGCCGTTCCCCCATGGACAAAAAATGATTGATGGTGTGTGATTTGTAGTTGGGCGATGGCTGCAACAACTTATCTCTAGGTTCACTTCCATTAGTGAAACCGCAAGAATAAACAACTAGTGACCTCGCATGGCGTTAAAACGCCAAAAATTTAATTTGAAAAACTTAAAAAATATTCCAAATGTTAGTAAGAGTTGTAAGAGATCCGAGTGCCATATTTTATCAAAACCGGTCAGCCGTTTCTGAGTGTAGAGCAGTTTCGTTCGCATAGTGCATATTTTTATTTTGATCGAACTTCAAATCGCCCTATACCACTGAAAAAAGTTCTTAATTAAAAACATAAAATTTTATCATACATCTACAGCCTAAGGCTTAGAATTTGACATCTCGTTTTTGAAACTCCTTTTCAAACGTATTCTCAAACTAAAATTTTCTTAAACCATTTTCGTCTGACATTGTGATACACATGTATTTCAATAAACTGATGAACTGATTCGAATTTGACTGTTGGAATAAATGTCAACCCTCGTAAATGAAGGTCAGGAATAAATCCCTTTCAAACCCATTTCAATATATACCCAACTTCTAGTAATTCATCCAACCTACTGAATAATTTGAATTTAACTTTTTAAACACGTGGCAACTCTCTTGAAACATTCGAAATGTTCAAACTAAACATTTCTTAGCATTCTTTTGTTTGACTGCTGCATCTGTATTTCATATACCTTTTGAATTAGTTAATTGAGTTAGACCTTTAAAACAGGTGGCAGCCCTCTACAAAAGTACTTTCAAGCTTAATCGTTGTTAACTCTCCTTCGCTGGACACTACGATACATATTTTAATTAATTGATGAATTAAGTGGAACTTTAATTGTCAAAAACCCCGCTAAATACAGTTCAGAAATAAAAAATTTTCAAACCCCATTCGATTGATACCCATATTTTAATAATTAATTTTACTTATAGTAGGAGATCCGACAAGGGAATGACCGTCACCTATCTGTTTAATGGATGAAATCTACTTTGTATGAAATTTAACGTGTTAGGAAATATTTCGGAAGTGGGTTGGCTGAAAAAATCCTGGCCAGGATATTTTTAATTAAATATCAAAAATTATAATTTTCCTTTTTAATTTTTCACTATTTCAGCATAAATCCTATAGAATGTGTTAAACAGAGGAGTGAAACATACTCGTATTACCTACCTGTTTATATCTGCCAACCCGATAGGTAGGCCATGAGAACAATAGACAACCCAAAGTTTTTACATTCTATAGGCTTAATACTTTCGATTGGTATATAATTTGTTCATTAAACAAATGAAACATCGAAGTTTTTTCCAAGTTTGAGAATTAGGATATACACAAATTTCAAATTTTCGATTCGTACGAAAACAAGAATACGCCCCATTGTTTTTAATTTGGTATGATTTTGGAGCTGGCCCAATTTTATTTTGTATCAGCTAGGAACTTACAAATGTACCAACAGTTATTGATAAATGCAGATTTTGGCTATAAAAATATATAAATACATACATGCTTTTTTAGACACATATACTTGTATTACACATTAAAAAACTGTACAGATTCATTGACTTTTGACTTAAAAAATAATTCCCATTTAAGATAAACATTTCTTAACTACCTCACAGCAATGATGAAGTGAAAATCTGTTTCAGAATTTGTGGCAATTTCGTTAAGTCCATGCAAACATAACTATGCCCTGCCGGCATTTGAGCATTGATTCTGAAATTAAACGGACAAAAAATTTAAAGATTCTTGCATAAGGTACCAAATTTGTCTGAGCATACTCATCAGCCTCCTCCTCTAAACTGCCAATGAATAACATATGTCCTTTCACTTTCGGTTCACCATTCATAAGAGCTTTCCCCAGCTCTTTTGGCTGTATGCCATAACGTGATAAGTTCGCATCGCTAAGCACTACAACGATTGAGTTGTCATAGTTCTCAGTTGACAATGTATTCACAGCTTCTTTAATAGCCTTTACAGTACTGTCGCCAGACCAGCAGAATTGGGAATGTGCATGCATCATACGAATTGTTTCGAAACGTTCTTTATCTGTTTTTGGCGGGCTACCAGCGTTGACAAATGGTATTTCCCAACCCTCGCCGCTATGACCAACGATATCATACACAATTTTCTTTTCAAAGCCCTCGAATGCTTCCATGACCATTACGACGGCTTCGAGCTCGCGATCCAAACGGCCATCGTAACCATTAAATCTGGAAGCAGAGAGAATAGGATGCAAGTGACTGTCAATATTGAGTGAAAAAGTGGGTAAGCATTTACCTGTACATGGAGCCCGACACATCCACTACCAACTTCAACCTATTGGGCTTCTCCTGAATATGATCCGCCCACGGATTAGCCTCAGCACGTCTCCTATAGATATTCTTTTCTCCAGTAATACCCTCTATCAAGCGTGTGTCATCTAACTCCCCATGTGTTTGGTATTTTTGCCATTGTCTTTCATTACTCTTCGTCTGCATAGCTTCTAAAACTGCTTTGAGCTGCTGCACTTGCTTCCGAATCGGCTCGCTGAATTGTGCGTATAACTTATGATCATGAGCTGACATACGAATCTCTTTTAGCTTGTCTTCGAATGCTTTGCGATTCATTTCGCGGGCAGCCTGTTTTACCTCTTCCGGTATCGCATCTTTCTCTTCATCAGAGAGCTGACGCACTTTGTGACCGGCATCCAGGCGAAAAGGTCCACCTTTTCCCCCAAGACCAGCTGTGTCGCGACCGCCAGTACCGCCAGCCCACGTATTGCCGCCTACATGCGGCTCGTTCTTTGGGTCAACTTTGCCGTATTTGGGATTAGAAACGTCAAGACCACTTTTGCGTTCAACTGTCAATTGGATTTCCTTCTTGCGCCGCAATGCAAACAATTCATTGCGCGCATATGCTTCTATGGGTAAGCCATGCTTGGATAGTACTGTTGTTACTTGTTGCAGAGCCTCGGGTTGATATTTGTCGAAGTCCAGCACATTGCCAACCAATTCGGACATTGAGTCGTGCGGATATTTTTCCAAATGTTTCACAATATTAACCACTTCTCTTGTGGAGTAAGGGTAATTGAGTACACCTTCATCGGCCAATGTACGCAGCTCGCCAAAAGCATTGACCAGCATAGAGAGTGTTTTCTTGGGTACTGATGGGCCATATTTTTGCAGAAGAAATATTTCTGAATCCGGCGACGGATTATCAATAGCGTGGCAGCTAAAGACGTCACCCAAAGTGGCGAAAAAGTCATTGCCTAGGAATGGAAATCCTGGCCTGTTTGCCAACACAATTATACGGAAATTGGGATGCATTTCAATGATTTCGCCAGTATACCCCGCATTTCGAGCAGCGGCACCTTCGCCGGCAGGTACAATTTTGCGTCCGTCTGAGAGTAACATTTCACCATTTTCGACCAGCGTCCGCAATATGCATGTTACATTTACAGGAGCTTTGTCTGCTTCATCGATTACCAATATGTGCCCGCTCTTCGCCGCTTTTACAAGTGGACTGTCCTCGTAGATGACCTGACCATCGCGAAGCGTTGACTGAACCGTCAGGCTATGCACGGTGGTATCGCGATGCAGCTGTAGGTACTCGCGCGCCTTGTTCATTAGTTGAAGTAGTTTATCGATGAGCTTGTTTTTTCCTACACCCTGATTACCAACTAACAAGAGGTGATCACCGATTATGAAGTCCTGTAATAGCCGCTCCAAGAGCTCTACATGTTGTGGCATTTCATAAAATAGCGTACTGGGTACTTTAGACTCCGCTTCCGTTGCGACAAGCGGCATGGAAGTGTTGCCTATAGTCAACACATTGCCATCAGTGGTAATTTTGAGTCGAATAGCCGACCGTGTGCTGGTCTTCTCGATGCCCGAGCGAGCTATGGCGTCTTCAAGCGCTGCACGCGGCAAAGCCGGCATAAATTTGGCGAGAAATGTATTTTGAAGTATATCGTAGGCGGAGATTAAGTCGCTCCCTCCAGCGTTACCACTTGGAAAAGCAGATATTCGCCGCGCAATTTTCAACAATTGGCGCGTTGACAAAGTACCAGCTAAGTTCAAGAGGGTCGGATCTGATGACTCCCGCAAATAATGTGATAAGTTAATTATTTTTTGAATATCATCATTAATTTCGCCATAAAGTTTTCTTATGATTTCATATTCTTCACTCTGTTGAAGTGGCCGTACTTCAAGGAACAAGAATAAGCTGAGGATTTCAGAAGTGAGCCAATTTTGTGCAGGTTGGCCGGGACTCGGCGGTTCGCCCAATGCTATAATGCGAAAGGAATCATGTATTTTGAGTATACCCTTTTCAGCTAGTTCTAATTTAGTGAAGCCCTGCTGAAGAAGTGCATTATAGCGATCGGGACGCACCAAAATCGTGCCGTCACAGAGCTGCAATTCGCGATCCTGAATTAAACTGCAAATAGAATTAAAACTTGAAAGATTAATAGTAAATTATAGAAATGTGCTTACCGTTGCAGTGCTGTAATTGTGCTCTTGTGCAAATGATGTACGCCATTTAGTACAGCTATAGAACCACATTTCGCTGCTCGTACCAATGGTGAATCGCGCCATACCGTGTCTCCATCTGTGGAAGTAATGCGTTGCTGAATAAGATCACGCGAAGTCATATCCTCATAGAGAATCATAGTTTCAAGTGATTGGTTTAGCAAGTGCACCAAATGACTGGTCAGAGTAATTTTTCCAACACCT